ATTCAATCTGGTTTAGGGGATATGACACTGCTTCATTTTCTGTAGCTTTTGCCATGGCAGACTAACACTCTTATGGGCTTCTGTCTGTACATCTGTCTGGACACTATTACTGATCATGGACCATTGAGAAATAAGCATATCAGTAAGTGGTACACAGAAACAAACTTCACTGTAAGTCCAGAGGGGCTTTAGTCAGCTGCATCAAATGCTAGAGAAAGTCCTGCAGTATCTTAAAAGTGAAGTAGTTGCCCCTGGTATGAATTTTCAGAGGCAGAAGGTCTTGATCCATCTATCAAGATAGGTTCTTCCCTGCTAAATCTCATAATATAATGCATATGTTAATCCACTGAGGAAAGGCTGAACTACATGGCAAATGTGTGTTGCCTGCAAGATGAGCTAGGTTCAGTCCTTAGCATCTCCAGGTGGGGCTGAGAAATATTTAATGCATTTTCCCCTCCTTTCAGGAAGATTTGTGCAAATTTAACTCGCTTTTTTAACTTTCAGGAAGTTTTGTGCACATCTGCATAAATCTTAGAAAGTTTTAAAAATGTTAAATACTGGCATATATCCCCAAACATGAAAAAACTGTTAAATTTATACAATTGTCAGCAAAGGTGGGGTGGGGGGGAGAGACATTAATTGTACGTAAGTTTCCTGAAAGTGGAAAAATGTTATGTACAAATCTCCTGAATATATGGGGGAAAGTATCTTAAGAACATAAGAAAAGACATGCTAGATCAGATCAGTGGTCGATCTAGTCCAGCATTCCTTTCACACAGTAGCAAACCAACTACCCATGGGATCTCTCAAGCAGGATAAGTAGAAAATCTCCCTCCTGCCCAAGCTCCCAGCAGCTGGTTTACACAGGCAAATTTTCTAATATCAGAGATAACACATGGCCATCAAAACTAGTAGTCATTGATATTTTTCTCCTCCTCTGAATTTGTCCAGTCCCCTTTTAAAGCCATCCAAATTGGTGGCCATCACTACATCCTGTACCACTAAATCCTGTAGTATAATGATGCATTGTATGATCTGTCCCGAATCTCCCAGCAATCAGCTTCGTTGGGTGACCTCAGGGTCTAGTAATATGGAAGTTCTTGCACCCAATGCATAATTTTGAACACCTCTTTTATGTCTTCCCTTACTCACCTTCTTTCTAAAGCTAAACAATACAAACTGTTGTAAGCATTCCTGAGAGAAGGAATTACTCCAACCACTTGATCATTTTAGTTGTCCTTCTCTGCACATTTTCAAGCTCAATAATGTCCCTTTTCAGGTGTGGTAACCAGAACTGTACACAACATTCTGAGTTTAGTCACACCAAAGCTTTGTATAGGGGTGGGGAACCATCTTGGCAACTTTTCTTTCAGTTGCTTTCCTTTTTATGGTGTTTGCTTTTTTCACAGCAGCCACACTTTGACATGTTCATTGAGCTGTTCAACACAACCCCAAGATCTCTTCCTTGGTTAGGGTTTGATCTTCAGAGGAGCCAAATCCAGCCCCATCCCCACACCAAAATCTTAAGGTTCCAGATTTGAGGGAGTGATCTAACAGCCACCTTCTTTTCACAAGTTTTGGTTTCTCTTCATAGCTAACTTTTTGACTGTCCCAAAGATAAACCAAAATGAAAGGTAAAGCTCTGAGCAGCCTCTGGGCATATCTGGGATATTTTTTTAAATAGAAAGAGACAGTGAACCATAGACAGTCCCTCCAATGTGTTGCTTGGGCACTTTGAAGGTGCCGCCAAATCAGAGATCATGTTTTGCGATTTCTGTGCAAAAAAAAAAAAAAAGGTGAGGAGCAACTGAAAAATGGCTTGCAGTCACAGCAGGAAGAAACCAGGCAAGTCAGACCTTTGGGATATCAAGGAGGGAGGTGGTGAACAATCATTGTCTGTTGGGCACACCATGGTTTGTTCATACAATAAACCGCCATGGTTTGTTGCCAGTTTGGGTTGACAGGGCATGTGAATGAATTCATAATTTGGTCCTCTTTATTTATTTGTTTGTTATTTAAAACATTTCTATGCCGCCCCCATCGCAACAAAGCCTCAGGGCGGCTCACAACAAAAACAAAAACATACAAAATCATACAAAAATTATACACTAAAAATATTAAAACCCGGTGCATCTCGGCTTAAAAATTTTTCACTTTTCACAAAGACCTACATAGAACCTCTCCTCTTCAATTGATTCCATCATTTTAGTATGTCAAGGTAGTGATCCTGTTATCCATCGAGACATTCCTTAGGATCTACAGTTCCTAGAAAGTTTTTAGATGGGTATTGGAAAGCAGTTGTGGCAAGCCTCCAGAGTGAGCACTCATTTGACTCAGACTTGAAATGCGTCGCATGTTTTGCAAGTGCCATTTCACAGGATTTCCTCTTCCATGCAGAAGTACCATCTCTTCTTTGTGGTTGTTCTCCTTTCCCAAGGATAAATCAAGTATTTTCTTTCCTAGATACCTCTTACAGTGCTTTTTTCTCCCCTTATGCAAATAACCTCATTTTCACAAATAATAAAGTCCGTTCTCTGCCACTAGTATTTCATACCAGGCACTCTTGGCTATTTTGCTCACAATCGCCTCATCGCTTCTTCTGGAGTCAACGGCTTTGGAACTGCAGCTTTTCTCTTGTATTTGGGACTGGGGGAGTGGGGAGGGAGGCCCAGCTGCAATGCATCCTCCAGCACCTCGTATTTTTGTGGTCTCTGTATCTGCTTCCCAGCAAGTGTCCAAATCATTTGACAAAAACAGTATTCTCTTTTGGTTGAAAAATATTTGAGCCGCACTTGAAATTCTCCAGGTTTGTTGATGTTCTGCTCAGACTTATTATCTTTTACTGTCCTGAATGATGCTTGGATGATAACCAGACATGGATAGATTGACTCCTATGAAGCTGGGTTACTTGCAGCTTCAGCCGTTCTCATACAGGCTTTGGAGGGAAGGAAAGAATGGGTAGGTGCCTCTTTCTAGAGTAATCCCAAGTCAGCAACTAAGTCTCTGGGGGAGGGGCTGTTTTTTTAGTTGACTGGGTAGCTAGCAACACCAAATTCCTCCAAGATACCCTCCCACACCTAGCAAGGTACAACGAGCCTCCAGTGTGAGCAGCCACAGAGGTACTGTCAGAGTTCTCTGCATATGTGCCATAGCTGTCCCTTTCACAAACATGTGAGAGATTCTGAAGAGAGTTCTCCCCAAGCAATGGCTGAGAAAATGTTTTTAAAGGCCCTTTGACTGTGTTTTTATGAAGGGGAAACCATTGCAACTTGGTCCTCTTACAAATGGGGACGATGTGGGAGGTTGGACTGAAGCCTTTTGCATCCATTTGCCTATACCTAATCTGAGTAATTATTGACAAAGCGATTGTCAAACCTGTAGCTATTTTTAATGTCTGATTCTGATGTCTCTTTGTCACTCGCTTTTATCTCCTATTATTAATAGAATTAAGCAGAAACTAAATCCAGGCATGAGAACATTTGGTGCCTTTGCGCTATATTGTCCACAAGCACTCATTTTGAGACAAAAGGCATCCTCTCCTATGTGAGTGGGCAAGGAATTAGCAGGGCTTTTATTCTGCCCTCCCGTCTCTAAAGTGCCAGCCAGTGCAACAGAGGGGCAGAATATCTCATGCCAAGTAAATCCTGGTGCAGATTATTCTCCCATGCTCTCTTATCCTTTAAGAACAAAGAAAGGCAACAGGGGCTAAACATCCTCTCCATCCTGCTATTCAGTTCCTGAGGTTGCACGAGTTCCTTGTTGCTGGGATGATGAAAAATTCACTCTTCCCAACAGACCTCTCTCTCGCTCGCTCGCTCGCTCTCTCTTGCTCTCTCACTCACTCCCCCACCCCCCAGCCCACCTCCCTGGTCGTTTCCCAATTGCTAGCATTTGTTTTAATATTGGATGTGGCTCACAGCTGAAGAGCTCTGTTCCACCCCACCCCCACCATGTCGGCTTTTGTTCTAGCATAACAACTATTTGCTGCAGGCATGTTAGCTTCACATTTTAATACCAGGCACACCCTGGAGCAGAATGAGGCAGCAGATCTAATAGATCTGATGTCATGTATAGATCTGCCTACTGTACATCACAGTTTCTAAATTTCAGTAATTAAAACATTCCCTATTTACCACAAGGTTAAAAGGCTGAATAAATAACAGACTTTCCCAGTTTCATTCTAAGTAATGTTACGCTTCCCCTCCTATTCCTTCTTCATTTTTTCTTCCTTCTATGCAAGCCCTAAGAAAGCGAGTTGTCACCATGCAACCATCCCTCCTGCTTGCAGTTTGAGGAGCGGGGAAGAACACCATCTGTGCCCCCCACACTTCCACAGAACATAGTCCACATGTATATTCTTGCTGCAATCCTATACACCTGCAATCCTATGTACCTGGAGGTATATGCCAATGAACTTATTAAGATTTCCTTTGGAGTTGACATGCATAGGGCTTCACCTTGTTGTTTTCAGTGAAATCTGATATGCAAATCCTTTAGGGCCATATTACTTAAGTGCCATATTACTCTGGAGTGGTGGGCAGGGAAGCTGAATTGAGCTCTGCTTGAATACATGTGTAAATGCATCGTTTTGGTGTGGTGTACAGACGGCATGTCACACTGCAGAGCTAATACAGAGAATGAATTTACAGAGTTGGGGTATTTGTATGATGGGGACTGGCTGCTCCTCAGTTTGGACCTCCCTTTTGCTGGAGCTTCTTCAGAGATTGTCTCTGAGAATTTTCCAGAGGTGACACAAATGATATAAATTCAGTCAGGTTTTGAATAGCAAATTCTAAGTCAGGGTGTTTTTTAGCGGTCAGATATATTAATAACCTGTTTTGCATATCTTTGAGCCTGTGAGGGGCAAGTAGTTGAAGCCCAAGAAATGTCAGGTCACATGTAGGATATATGTGTGCTACTTCTGATTGTTAATTATCCATCTTGGATTTCAACATCTTTCATTTTCAGATTTTGAGTGGCCTTTTTGTTTGTCATTGTAGGTAGTCCAAATGGACCAGAAGTTGAATCTCATCACAGACCTGTTGCATCATCTGGTTTCTAGTCAGCAAAGAAACCCAGGCAGCCACAGATCATCTCACAGGAATGATGCTAACACTCTCCCTACCTATGAGCAGCTGAACGTCCCAAGGGAAATCCAAGATGACATTTCCTGATGCAACAGAGATCTGTTTCCTTCCATTTAATTGACACTGAATGTTGTGAATCTTGATGGGAGTTGGGGACAAATTAAAGCTCATAATCAGCCATGCAAGAATTAAATATGTCTGATAAACCAATGTTATTCTTCCAAAGACAGATGTTATTCTCGCAAAGACAATCACCCAGACAACTACAAAACCTTAAAGCCTACACTGTGTTGTTGCTCATTAATGTGGTATATTCATAAGCTCATTTTTCCTTGCGTGAACAAATTATACTACTGCTTTCTGTCACTATACTGAAAGACCAAAAAGACTAGATGAGGATGATGCAGGCAAAAGTAAACCAGTCTGTGTGCCCAGTTTATCAGGCACTGCTGCTACTGGCGAGGTTCTGAAGTCCTGTGCAAACACCACTACAGTAGTTTGAAAACTCCACAGCAGCAACACTTGTTGGGTTGCACCCTGTGTCTCTTTGATAACAATGATACTTGAACTTCTATGGTCATGTGTGAATTCTGTATATGACTGTGCTGACAGTAATGTAGTTCTGCTAGTCAGATTCGAAAGGAAAAAAGTATGTGGGTTGTATTATGTAAACATACCACTGCCAGTTTAGAAAATGGCAAAAGCATGCAATGTGTGATTTTTCCCCTCCTGTTTTCATTTTCAGCTGGTTATGTAAATCTTAGATAATGACTACAGACTTCTTTTCTTCAGGGATGAACTAGTGCTTTTGCCTATAATATTAACATTGTAAAGGAAAGCAATACAGATTTTTGTATAATATGGTGATTTCATAGGGATACTGAAATACAGCATAGGAAAATTGTTGTTGTTTTAATCATACTGCTGCCAAATAATTTATATATAGTATTTATCACAACCATCTGAGTGTGTTGTCCTGAAGGAGCTTGCAAAATTCATTGCTTTTTATATTGATGTGTAAGTCTAATTTGTTTCTCAATGTACTGTAATAAGCACAGGTCTAGCATAACTGGATCTTGTTGGACAGGGGTTAGTCAAAACTGCTAGGTAGGGGAAACTTAGGCTAAGTTCATTAAGGAAAGAGTGGAGGTATGTTACCAGCCAAATGCACATTCATTTCTACATTGGTTGGCCCACTGCCCTCTGATGGCAAAAAGGGAATGTGTGAATCTCCCTTTTGCTATGATGCACAAAGTCTTCAGCCTGTCTGACTGTTACAAAAAGCTCTGCTAGATGAATGTAGAAATGCATCTGCCTGGCTGCATTTTCTATAGCTCCTTTAGCTGCTGTATGCATCAGGGAAGCCGGAGCAGGAAACATTCGAGCTTCTGCAAGCCTGCTCTGTTAATACAGAAATCAGCTCTTATCCAGGAAAAATCCTGCATGCTGGAGGGCAGCAAGAGCTGTCCATGTACGTTGTGCAGCACAGATTATGAAAGTTGGCTTCCTGAGAATCTTACCATTTATTTATTTTAATTGTCCCAGGAAATGAGTTTGAAAATGTATGATCTGCCCTTGCAACATATTGAATCACGGGATGTCTATGTTGCCTCACCACATCTCAAACCTAATGCTTTTTTTCAGTTGGGTTCTCCCACATACACAACTGTGAATCATCAAATGCTGAGCAAAGCAAGTGATATAAAATCATATATCAACCAGCCCTCAAATCAAAGGGAACTGAAGAAAGAACAAGGGCTTCAGTTCAATTTGAATGAGCCCTATCCTCAGAGCTGCCCTAATTCAACAAATATCTACATTTTTCATAGAATGATTCCCAAAAAATGACGAACATTTCTGCTTACTGAGCACAATTGCAGGTTTGGACTTTCTGTGGCAAGGAGTTAATGCTTCCCTCATATAGAATGTTTATTTTATTTCCCTGAGAATAGCACATAAGTATATAGCACCGTATTAGGGCGAGTAGGCACTTGATCAGCCAGATGAGCTGCAGCTGAAACCTAGCACACACTGAGGTAGCCCTGGCAATTCAAAAGGAAAGTGGAATGTTCCCTGCTTCTCATCCCACATAGATGCTTTCCCCTTTGCTAATATTAAAGGGTGGCCAGTCATCTCCTGCCCTCCTTCAGCCCCAGGTGTGGTCCTGCTATATCCTCTGGGGGGTACATGCATGCCCATGGCTCCTTAGGTGAGCAGCAAATTGTGCACAGTCCGTCAGGAAACCCCAACACTAGAAATACATTAGTATGGATGGCCTGGCCATGCTTCCTTTGGTGGCCTTGTGACCATAACACTGTAGTTCAGAAACCCACTTTCCTATTAGATTCCAGAAGATACTGATGTCCTGGCTGCAGTAGCCAGAGTAGCTGTATCAGCTTAAAGTGAGGTGCAGCCATGTCTGTAGCCCCAGAATCAAGCAGTGCAAAAGCTGTGATGCCGCACTTGACCTCACTGAACAGATTTCCTTCCATGGAGCTGTTAATGAAGGGGCACACACTTTGTTCTCTGAGGGCTGCTTCATGCATCTTACCTTCGTAGGCACATGTCAGACCCAGCATATGCATCCACTGACTACATGGCAGCTGTACATCTCTTTCCACCACCCATGCCTACAATGTAAGGACAATTTAAAAGAAGGGTTACAGCAATGTAGCCATTCTGGCACACAGAGAGCTATGGTCTCTCTGTTGAGAATGGAACATGGGAAGGGGGGGACATCCATGGAAAGTTCCACCCCTGGCGGAGAACCACCTAACCTGATACATGTTGAATGCCACTGAAGAGACAGTTTCCCTCAATGTGCCGAAAATAGTCAACATTGGCTTTCTAAATATACTGCACAATGTAGACTTTTAAAAAAATAAGAATCCATTGCTAGAACCTTAACTGGAAAAGTTTAGTGTGAGTCTATAGGATTCATAAAGTATCACACTGGCAGGCCCGTTTGCACCAAGGAAATTTTTAAAACATTTATGTGGAAATGAGTGTTCAAGAATACAAGTAAATGTGACACTAATCAGATGTGTTTGAAAAGCAGTGACCTATGTCCTAAAGTGAGGAAACCGAGTGCTCTTTTTAAAAACCTTTTTAGGGCCTTTTTGTTATGACAATGGCACTGGTGGCAATGGTATTATGGAAAACTGAGAGTGTGAGTGTGTGTGTGTGTAAAATACAGCCATCCCCAACCTGGAGCCTCTCAGAGATGCCGGGCTGCTGCTCCCACAATTCTCAGGCAGCAAGTCCATGCTGGCTAGGAATCAGGCGGGTTACAGTCCAGCGCATTTGGAAGACACGAGGTTGGAGAAGGCTGTGCAATATATAATAAAGGCTTTTGCTTTATATAAAGATAAGTGGTTTTCCTTCTTTTCTACAGGAACAGAAGCTAGATAAATTAAGGGGATCATGTGTTTCAAAGAACAAAGATTCTTGTCCAGTGCTGGGCACAAAAAGTGTGCCCCCATGCTTCCTTCAAATATTTGTAAAAGAACAAAGATATGATATGTTTCTCAAAGCAGATAGGTTAAATCAACCCATTTGGTTTGGTTTGGTTTGACTTTTCCATGTATTTAAATGAATGAGACAACAGAAATTCCAGTACAGGAACGGCATAATAAACTCTGTATTTAATATTATTACATTAAAAAAGACTCCACACTAAAACAGATTTGACAATCTGATTGTGGCACATATCAGTGTAAATTTACACAAACAGAGCCAGGTTAAATCATCTTATTCATTGCCTAGGGTGGAAAATCCATTTGCAATTTCCAACCTTTGCATTCATGAATTAACAGGTGGCACAGTCTACCAAGACATTCATGCCTCATTGGTATGAGAGCAGTGCAACATTTCCACATATGAAGAGCTGCTCCCAGGCCTAACTAATTCAGCAGTTTCTGCCAATGGCCAGTCAGATGCTTTTGGGGGATCAGTAAGATGGCAAGAGCCTCTTGCCCATCATTTCTCACTCAGCCGGCATACACTTCATAGCTTTTAAAAGGCCTAGCTTTTATTAATTTGACAGGGAGACTGTGTCTAGGGGGTCATAAGATACTCGGATTCCAAGATATGAGGCTGGAAACAAAGCTCCAAGATGTGTGATTCAGCTTCCTTCACCACCAGCACAAAAGCCATGCCAGCTGCCTTTCCAAGATCAGGAAATCAACCTCAGAGAAGGCATTCCAGTGGGATGGGGAAGGGAGAAGCCAAGGCAGCCAGGGTATGAGCTCTCCTGGCACACTTCAGCCTCCTTCCCTCCCCCTCTAAAGTTCCTCATCTAGAAGTGGAATTACAGAGTGAGAGGTATGAGAAAGGGAACAGCTTCAGCAGCTCCTTCAGTTCTGCACTGGATGCTTTTAAGCCTCCTTGTTCAGAGGCTTATGAGTAACACAAGTAGAATAGGACCACATCCTTATTCCCCTTGTGAAGCCATGTAAACCAATGGTAAACAATACAGCTTGTGGCAACCCCTCTCCCCCTCACACACCTTACATAGCTGTAAGGATTTGAATTCACCACTGTGGGTTTCCTAACCACCGAGCCATGTATGGCCTTTTTTAAAGGGCTGTCAGACGGCAGTCCTGTACCTGATCGTTTCCTCTATTTGCAGCACTGCCCAATTCAAAAGTTCAAGGACCATCAGAAGGGGGGACACAGCAGGGGCCCTGAAGTTGTCCAGTTACAACACCTGCAGCAGACACAGCAGGCATGCCGGGCACTTGCTCACCATCCCCTTCATGTTGAGAGATATTTCTATTTAAATCGCAATCACAGTTGCAACATTTGCAGCCACACATATAGACTAGCATGGGTGAATTTTATGTAGGCCTACATCCTCTTTTGTCCCCTGTTGGGGTGAAGTGTTCCCTCTTCTCTGGCAACTACACAGGGCTCTCCAGCTACTCCTCTCAGACTCTGCTCTTGAGCAGTTCTGGTTCATTTCAGTGAACCTTGCACAGGGGAACTTGCTAGTGAATTGTGCCCATGTCTCAAATCTGTCTTTCTCATGCTCTGTTGCACTTCATGGCACCCAGAATTTACTGTCTGAGGCAATCCACCTCATTTTGCCTCATGATTGCCTCATCTGTGCACAACAGGTCTCCTTTTGGCTTGCGCTTCCAAGACTTTATTGTAAACATTTCATTTTCTTTCTCTGGATAGCAAAGCACAGCTTCCAAGCCTCCTTAAATGGAATGTGGAATAGAGTTTAAATTATTCACCCTATGTACTTTAGATGCGTTTTAAAAACATGTAGAATAAATATCTAAGTGGTAGTTATACTGGGGCATTATATTTTTAAAGAAATCAAAAGGGAACTGTTATGATTTTGACTCTGTTTTTTAAATGATGTTCACTGTTGTAATTTGAGTTTATTAATTTCCTAATAAAATACAGGACAGGACATTGTATGATCTTTGATCTAGTCTGAACTTCATGTATTGCCAGAATTGTTTATCAGGGATTTGCCATAAAGGAAAAATAAGGTTATTTTCACCTAATTTTCATAATCAAATTGCAATATAAGTAGCAGAGTGAAGGACTATGTAGAACCTCTGTTACTGCATTTGAGGTGCTGCTACAAGACTGTCAGGTCTGTGAGTTGTAATCCAACCTGCTATTTCCACTTCTAATCCAGATCAGGGAGAGGCAATGTGGTGTCCCTTGGCACCTTTCTCAAGATCCAACAAGGGGTCCTCACACTTTTCTAATTGACACATTTTCATAGCAGCAGCTGGGAGTTCTCATGGTACTGAAACTCTGAGTTCAAAGGGTGTGTGTTTGGGCTCAGACCCCATCTCTGCCTGCCCAGCTTTTGGGCAAGTTACTTGTCCTTTGCCTCATCTCCCATGCCAAAAGTTTTGTGGTGGTGCCCAGGGCAATTTTTCAAATTGTCAGATGTGACCACAGTCCAAAAAGATCACTCACCCCTGATCTGGATAAAAGCACAAGAAGTCACAGCTGGAGACCAGTGGTCCAGCCTCACAGCATCCGAGCATCATAGATCCAGATAAGGACTGTTGCTTAACCCTTTGCTTGGATTGATCTTGTTTATGAAATACTCTCCTTTTCACTTGGTCCTCAGGCCTACGGCAGCACCAAGGGTTTTGATGGATCCCTGTTGACAAGAGTTCTTTGCAGATCATACCACAGCTGTTCCCAGTCACCCCACACATGGACATGTGCAAGTTATGCTGCAGATCCTGTCCTCCCATTCCATTGAGGACCACAAGGTCCTGCTATGATGCTGCTCCCTCTTACATTTCACAGTGGCTTGGATTCAAAATTCCTACAAACGTGGGATAGTTATGCTAGCAGATTGGCGAGGGAAGGGGTTTTGCCAGTTTTTCCTTCAACCTTCTGTACCCTCCAAAATCTGCTCTGGAGACAGGAGACTCTCCAGATTAGTGTGGAGGTGACAAGGCCATTGGACCAGTTGGGCAGTTGGGCAGCAGGTAGAGGAAACATTTCTCCTGTTGGTCCTCTTAACAAACAGGAACCAATGAAATAAAAAGAAATAAAATTGATAAGCCAAGTTTACTTTGGAATTGTTGACATAATTCTGGTACAGCATGTTCCAAAGTGTAGGGCTAACAGTTACTCTGCACAGCCAGGAAGGAAAATTGATTGCGGTGAAATGCCATTGTCCAAACCAGATAAAATTTGTGCTATTTCAAAATTAAAGTCAGCTTTTAATTATCTTTTAGAACAGTTAACCATAGCAAAAGCACATTGAAGTATCAGATGAAAGCACAAGGGAGCTGAGTTTTTCTGATTTGCAACAGTGCTTTGGATCCACAAGATAATTCTGGTGGTGAAAAAGGAGTGGAGGTTCTTTTTAGTCAATTACACTGCCCCACACACACATACACACACACTTGCTATTCCAGAGTGACCTTAGGAAGAAGATGGAATTGGGAAAGATCTCCTTTCCCACCTGCACCTTACCAGCTTGACCATCCTATGAACCCAGTTCTATTCATAGGATCTCTGGATCCAAGCCACAGAGCTGTAGAAAAATAGGGATTTGCTAATTTATCCACAAAATAAAATAAACTTTATGCAAGAAAAAAATGAGGTAAGTGCAAACTGCAGAAACCTTCATTACTTTTGGCTGCAATGTCTCTGGTTTCATAAGATCTCTTTCACCATTGGATCAGCTCCTGAGTGACAGGATGTTTATAAATATTCCAAATGAATTTTTAAATGTCAACAAAGACTAGAGAGAGATGGAGCTTTTTCTTATTGGTGGCAAGCAATCTAAGTAGAGAAGGGAGTATGCAGAACTATCAAAAATTAGCCAAACATTTAAGGCTGTGGGATGTGGGGGGAGGAGAGAGAGAGAGAGTTTTGAATGGAAAATTATGTAAGAAAACAAAGAGGGAATGGATACATGGAACGTTTTATCCACCACCAGCCCTTCAAAATTTGCATGGGCCTTCATTTGTATCCATATAATTCTCAACCTGACTGGCAGTTAGAGATTAATGGGAAAAAAGAGTGCTGGTTTGATACTGGGCATTTTGCTGTCTACTGCATTATGAACATGGAAAAAATAGATAAAGCCAGCTCTGAAATCTTCTTGGAGAATTAGTGGCTTTGTTTCACCTGTTGGTGTTAGTATTGCTCTGGCGAAATGCCTAAGGATTTAGCCTGAGCTAATCCAACCTTGGCTTTCCATAGCAGGCACCTACAGAACAAAGAAAATAAAGATTCCACAGCCTGGTTGGCTGGGTTTCTGCTAAATCACTCAGCCAGGTGGAGCAGAAGTCAGATCAGCAATCTTCCACAAGGCTTTTGGAAAAACATTTTTTTAGAAGCAAGCAACATCTTTTTGGAGAGCCAGAATTCATTTCATAGGAGAATTTAACTTAGTGTTTTTCCCTTTCGATTTGTTTTGAAAGCCATTGCCCTAAGCATGTTCTTTCATCTGTAACTACTGGTCTGTCTGACAGGTAGCAGCTCTAAGACTTCGGTCCTTTCAGCCATTTTTATCTTTCACTTAAACTGCTTGATATGGAAAATATTATCAACAAAATGTAAATTCTTTTTCCTATCTGAAGTAAATTCTTAGGCAATGAAGTTCCTGTTTGCTTATATTTTCAAATGGTTAATTAACCCACCTAATTAATTTGATATTTGTGGAATCAAAGGGTTTTCTGCAGGCTCAGTTACCCTGATTCAGAGCTGAATGTGTATGCTCTGGAACACACATGGAGTTTATATAAATATGCAGTCTTCCACCAGCCACTACCACCTTAGGAACTAAATGGGACACCATTTAGTTCATGGTGGAAATCTATGTGATTCAGGCTGCAATTCTGTTTCCACTTACAGAGAAGTAAGCCCCTCTTAATCCAATTAAGATTAAGATGTGAGTAGATGTGTATAGAATTGTAGTTCAAATGGATTATGAGAGTCTGATAGGATAGATGTTTGAGGAGATTTAGGAGGAGCAAACTCAAACCTAAAAATACCACCCGGATCTGCACCTACATCGTTCTACAAGTTCTGTGTACAAATCGACATTCCTTGGCAGAAGAGATCCATCAGTTTTTCCTGTTAAATGCTGTAAGGCACCATCAATACTGACAGTGATGTATAAATAAATGGAAAGAGCTCTAATCAGAAAGGGGATGTTGTCTAGAGCTGTTTTCTGCAACACATTAATACACTTTAAAAGTTAGGTAAACATTCATACACTTGATTTCCATTCTCTTTCTTGACTAAAAATGAACAGTCATGCAATTTGGAAAAATCTTCAAGGGACTGACACACAGTCAGTTCTTGCAGTAGGTTCATGCAACATGATAACCCACACCCAAGGGTTGAATGTTGGTTATTGTTGAACTGTGCGTTGTTGTTCAAACAAGGGTTATTGTGTTGTGTGAACCCATGGGACATAGCTTCATGACCCATGAAAACAATCCATGATTTGTTGTTGGGTAATGAACTGTGGGTTGTTCTCCATGGTTTGGTATCTCAGCTAGGTCCAGTAAGCATGATAACCCATGTTCAAAAAAACCTATGCGGTTTAATGACACACACTCCACCTTTGTGTGTGAGTTATCATGCTGTCATTTTGGAGAAAGCAGTATAACCTTGACAAGGATCTGCAGCCAAGCTTAGCTCTTTTGACATGTTCTGTATAGTTGCAAATGAACATGTATCACATATACACCATTCATCTTAAGGGAAACATTTAAGCCACTTTGCACGTATACCTCAAAAGGGAAATTTATGAAGCAATTTCATGGCCCAAGATTAACATTTATTTTGACATGTCAAAATCACAATGAGATAATTTTACCCTGTTTATTATTTAATTTAAAGAATGCTTTTGTTTTAATGTGCCCTCACATTAAAAGAGCCAGTATTTATCACACCTGGAAGAAACACTAAAAATTACATTTAATCTGGTATGGTAACTTCTATTTCTCACCACATGATGGGGCACTCAAATATTCACCACACAAAGCTGTTGAAACAAGATTGTCTCATAGAAATGCAAGCAGCTTGAAAACTGTGACCAGATTTTTTAAGCAGAAATGGTCCAGAAAGAAGAATAACATCTACTTTCACATAATTCCCAGTTAGTTTCAATATCATATTTTTCTCCAGAAACCTGAATATTATAAACTGGAAGTTGACTGCCTAGCAAGAAGTGGTGTGCACCTTGAAGAAACAGAACCCACATTCCTGCTATATGTGTGCCAGAAAGGGGTCTACTTTAAACCCCAGGAAATGGCTGTAATTAAAATCTTGGTAAGGAGTTTTAGAACGATCATTTGCTTAAGTTCTCACCTCCCTGGTCCTAAATATAATCTTAATTGCCCAGTAATGCAGGTTGTCTCCAGCTTATGAACAACCCATACTTATGAATTAGCAAACCGGAAAGTTCCACTTAATCCTTGAGTAGCAAGTGGCACCCATGGGTGTCCACATGCCAACTGCTGCTCACCACTGGGAGAGCTATGAAGTCCGAATTCACACGGGATGATGAGAATAGGAAGGAAGGAAGGAAGGAAGGGAGGGAGGGAAAAATAGGGAGGGAAGGGAGGAGAAGGGGAAAAGTGGCGCTGCAAGCTGCAAAGGAAGTGACTCCAGTTGTAAATCGCCTCCTCCAGCAGCTCGATCAAACCCTGACTTTCCAGCATGAGCTCCATCCTCTCCAACATCTGTCCCATCTCCATCATCATCCAGTTAATGTTAGGCTTAATGTTAGCTCAAGAAGTGTTAATAATAATCTTAATAATCTTTTTTACTATTTTTCTCTCTTTCAATCTAAACTGTTTTAAGAACTGTACTATATACTACACACATACATACAGATTTTCTCTCTTCGGTCCTATGATTGCTTTATTATTACTGTATCTTTATTAAAATGCTGTATT